GCCCCCAAACATCAGAATGTATTAATGAAAAAGGAACTAAACTTTTATCAAAACTGCGAGCAAAAGAAGCTCTATGTTGTTTTCCAAGTTGACAAGACTCACAAAGAAAGTCAGACACATGATGATTTGCGAAACCAGATGGAAATAAATGCTTAAGTAAATAAAAGGAAGGATGCCCAAAACGCCGATGCCACAGCCATAAATCAGTGGGGGTAGTAGAAGACGTGGTGGAAGAATAAGCAAGTTTGTCCGATTGATCCAGGAAGTAGAGACCATTTTCTGCACTACCACTGCCAATTGTCCTCCTCGTGACAAGGTCCTGAAAAAGACAATGATCAGGGAAAAACGTCACACTACAATTCAAATCCTGGGTAAGACGACTCAAGGATAACAGATTAACAGAAAAATTGGGAACACGGAGAACGAAAGATAGATGTATGGTAGGAGTGACGTGGACTAAACCTTTTCCAGAAATGGAAGAAACAGTGCCATCTACAATCTTAACTTTGTCCTGACCTGAAGAGGGCTTATAGACAGAGAAAAGATCAGAGCAGCCAGACATATAATCGGAGGCACCGGAATCAATAATCTAAGGCAAAGACTTATGACACAGGAAAACACAAGGAGAAGAGGCTAAGTTACCTGAGCGGGCAAAGGACGAGGAAGCTGTACTGAGAGCAGTAGAAGATCGGCGGTCCAACAATTGGCGCAAAGCATCCTCCAACTCAGTATCAGAAGCTTGGCCAACAGAAGCAGAATTAGAATCAAGTGTATCAACGGCACTAGACTGATGAGCCCGTGAATAGGAACCACGTCCTCTAGACTGGCCTAACCGACCTCCTCGAGAACCAAACCGATCACCTCGACCCCCGGATGGAGTCCCATGATGCTTCCAACACGTCTCACGAGTATGCCGCGGCTTCTTGCAATAATCACAGAATACAGACTCCTTAGCAGCAGACGGAGGGATGGGAGTCAGGCTGAGGCCATCTCGAGGAGTAGACAGTAATGCTGAGCGGTCAGTAGAGACAGGGGACATCATAGCAGACCGGCGACTCTCCTCATTCTGTACATAGGCAAATGCCTCCTGAAGTGAAGGAAAAGTGTCCATACCCAGAACTCGACCCCTAACTGGATCATACTCCACATTTAGGCCTGCCAGAAATTTAAAGACCCGTTCTCGTGCGATGAACTTCTTATACCCAACAGAATCAGCAAGGCAAACGGGCTTATAGTCTTCCAGGTGGTCAAGGCGTTTCCAGCCATTGGTGAGGAAAGTGAAACACTGAAGAACAGTCTGCTCCCCCTGAAGTGAGCTCTCAATAGAGCGGCGCAACTCAAAAGTCTGTGAGAAATTCCCTTTGCGGGAATAGGTGGCAGCCACAGCATCCCAAATATCCTGGGCAGTCTCCATAGACAAGTAGCCCTCACCAATTTCAGGAACCATCGAATGAATAAACCAACCCATAATCAAAGAGTTAGTAATCTCCCATTGGTCACAACCCGAGTCAGTGGTACTAGGTGCCTATATCCTGTCATCAACATACCCCATCTTCCCTCGGCTCTTCAAAAATATAGTCAAACTTTGAGACCATGCTAGGTAGTTCTGACCATCAAATAGAGAGGTGGTGATTTTCAAACTAGGGTTGGGGTTCTCAGTCATGGTAGTAATGAGACTCTCACTCCTCGGCGTTTGAGAAGTAGGGGACACACTGGTGGAATCTGCCATGGATACAATACTACCGAACCCTCAACAAAACTAGTGGCAATCACAAACCCGGAAGGTGGTGGTTAAAGAATAGGCACAATGACCACTATAAAGGCATAACAAAATTAAGAAACCATAAAGTTTTCTTCCCTTTTTTTTTTTTTAAAGTAATTCTTTTTTTATTTAATTATTTATTTATTTATATATGTATTGGTACGGATACAGGCATATAGGTTATTTATTTATACATGTGTATACACGACATATATACCAAATAGAGATGAGGTATGTTGTATACCAGAGATGAGAGTATACCAGACGAACGAAGATGAAGGAGATCAATGATGTGAGGAAGACGAGCTGAGGAGATCGACTGAGGAAGGCAGCTGACGAGATCGACTGACGAGCTGACGAACGAAGATGAAGGAGATCGACTGAGGAAGGCGGCTGAGTGACGATCAACAGAGGAAGGCGACTGAGTGACGACGGCGACTGAGTGATGAAGACGAAGTAAAGATCGACGAGCTGAAGATCGACGCAGCAGATGATCCATCCAGGTAAGCTTCGAACCCTAGAGTGTCGTTGGTGTACAGGTCTACCAACGAGGGTGAGCCGAAACCCTAGAGGTTCTGCTCTGATATCATGAAGCTTGAGTAACCAGCTTAGGATTTGATAGAATATCATCCCCTATTTATAAATGAAGATTAGGGTTTACAAGATGAGACAATTACAAGTCGAGCCCTGAGGGCATAGAATAATTACAAACCAAAAAAAAAAGCTCAGATAATAATATAATATGCTAACAGTTTATTGTCCTCTAGGAAGGATAGGGAGCTGTCAAAGGTTTCATGCTCAATAAGCTATGACAGTCATTTGAAGAGGGGATCAAGCGTGCAAAAGCGATGTTAAGGTTACTGATGGAAGCTCGGGTGGGAAGGTGGGAACAGTGAGGTTTCTTATCTTTATGGAAAATTTCAGGAGAAAGTAGAGTAAGTAAGAGCGTCCGGATGTCATTTCAGTTAAGGTTATTGGCAAAGTTGGCGGGGCTAAATGGAAATCCATTTCTGAAAAAGAACCTTTTGTCAAGATGGCACTTTATTAATGTATTTTCATAGTTGGGTGTGGGTTATTTTGACCTTTTGATATAAGTAATTTGACTTTTTTTCTTTACTTTTTCTTTTTATTTTATTTTTTTTCTTTCCCGATGCCCCCTTGTTACGTGCTCTGATACAATCTTTTTTTGTTGCTTATCAAGAAAAAGAAAAATAATCCCAACATTCCAACATACTGTAAAAAAACCACGTGTGGAATCCCATGCATCACACCTAATATGTACAGGTAAACCCAAAACAAGAAATAAATAAAAAGAATGAAAGAATAAAACTCTCAATTAAGCCTAAGAATATCAAAATCAACAAATTAAGCCTACAATTTTGGCTATGCCTAAAATAAATGGCATGGCTACCTGTGATCGCAAGTAGAACTCAACTTCCAAGTGACACTCATTTCTCACAAGAATGTCTCTACCAGTTTGTACTCTAGAAACCAAATATTGTTTAAAATGTCATTTTTACTTTAAATATCGGAGGGAACTCTGTTCAATTATACTCTCCAACATCAATTCTCCAAGGAGGGCAACAGTTCTCGAGATCAAATGACCAAAACCTAGACCACCTTTACTCACAAGTAGACAACCTAGTAAATTAGTAATTGTAAGCAAAATATAGCACTGACCTAGACAGATAACAAAACTGGCAGACTAACATGAACTAGCATGCAACCAAAACATGTGAATCAATCTACTTGTAAAAATTTTTGTTACATGAAGAACCGAATAACAGATTTAAGAGCCAGTGACATGCATGAGAAGGCAATCAACATCAGGCTTTTGAAATTGGACTTCAATTCCCAGAAGAAGTCCTCAAGCAACTTCCAAGAGACGCCATTTGTTTTTTTTCAGTCTACAGCTCATCCCAGCAATGGAGCATAACAATAGCAAGTACTGGAGTAAATGCATCTAAACAAAAAAATTTACATATACTTAAGTTTTAATGCAATGATACACAAATGTTTACCAAAAATGTGTGTATATTGTTTCTTTTGAAAAGATGAGAACATGTATTCTTAATTTCAATTGATTCATAATTTCGATCAATGTGGTAAGAAAGCCATTTCTATGTACTCAAATACTAAGCATGGGCCATGTGTGTAAATACATGAAATAAAATAACAATTAGCATAGCATCACACGAAAAAGTTAGTCTTAATTTGTTGTTTATTTAGGACAGGTGAGTAAATTTATACTTAATTTCAACCAATGTGGTAAGTAAAGCCTTTCTATAAACCAAAGTACTACAATGTGAAGGCAGTGTATCTAAGCATGAGCCATGGTTGTAAATGCATAAAATAAAATAATGATTACTCTAGCATAATATGAAAAAGTTGACCCCAACAATAAGTGAAAAAAGTTACAAAAGAAAAAAATGAGAGATGACCTTTGGATGTTGTGAAAAGTGGCCCGCTCTTGATAACCTGTCAAATTGTCAATTATCTCATAAGGTCAAAATCATGAACAAATACCTGACTAGTGTTAAGCAAAACTATTTTCCAAAGTAAGCATAGGAGGATTGAATTGAATTGAATTGAACGGACATATTCAAGCAGGTAACACAAGCATTGGTGGGTTTCAGTAAAAGCCTTCAACATACAACTTACATTCCAAGGGCTGTGGAACAGAACTATATGTGCTCTGACCTACTCCACTAAACCTAACCCACTACACCACTACCACCTCCACTTCACCTACTCCTTACCTACTACACACTCACCCTCTTCTATATATAGGAATCATGAATCATTGTAATAAACATCAATATAAATCAATCAATAATACAATTCTCTATTTCTCTTTATACATTAAAGTTCTACAATATTCAAGCAGGTAACACAAGCATTGGTGGGTTTCAGTAAAAGCCTTCAACATACAACTTACATTCCAAGGGCTGTGGAACAGAACTATATGTGCTCTGAACTTCCACAAGTTCAATGGAGTCTCCAATGAATTTCCTGAAGTTAAAAATCCTTTGGCCTTTTCATTTGTATCTTGATTCACAGAGAAAACCTGTGTTTCCCCTATGTTCTATGTTGTTTTGAACCTACATAAAAAAGAAGTGCTTGCTTTTTGACCCATTAAAATTTTTTTAAAATTTCAGCTGAAAATTACAGAATTTGGCCTAATTCTTTTCAATTTTTGAGAATTGTAATTTGCATTTCAAGTCATGAAATAAATTGGACTTTGAGAAAACTACTGTATGGATGGACATTATACGCTAAATTTTTAAAAGCATGTCTAAAAACTGAGACTTAATAAAACTGGCATCAAGGATTATAAAATTTCTCAAACAAATTTTTTTTTTTTTATAAGCAAAATAAAACTTTATTATAGAAAGAAAAGGGTGAGAATTAAAGTGGGGAATAAGAAGTCAATTGAGGAAAACAAAATAAAAATAAAATAAAAAATGTGTCACAAATTGCTTTTCAATATTATCTTAAATACCAAACTTCGGTAAACATAATTCAATGCTAAATGCAATTTCAAGAATTCAATAAATATACAAGTTCTTTTGCAATTATGGTTCAGGTTAGTTTAATTTTCCTTGATTATTTGGCAACAAAATTGGTTAATTCAATTTCAAAGAAATTATTGTGTTCTTTAAAGAGTTTGCCCCCAAATTTAATAAGATAAAGTAATTGATGCGGAATATAAGAAACTCAAAGAAGAGTAAATTTAAAGAAGCGGCGATATTTGGGAATTGGAATGGTTTCAAAGAGAAATTGATAGGAACTATACATAATCATGTTTCTAATATTATTATAACTTTATTTTATGATTATTTTTATGTTTCTAGGGTTTTTAGGTGAGGGGTATTTTGGTAATTTTATATTTGCCTACATGGGCTGTAGGGGCCGCCCATGAGTCGTTTTGTAAGTCAAGTTATTTAATTAGTCTTTGTTTTTGTTTCTTATTTAGTCTTAAATTAGTTTTGGAAGTCAAAGATATTTTGATAGTTTCCTATTTTAGTTCTAGTCGGTTTAGGAAGTCTCTTAGTCCTATATAAAGCCATGAAATGTTTATAATTCAATAGAGTTGATATTTTATAAAAAGTTAAAGAGCTTTGAAGTTTCTTTATGGATTGTGTAATGCAATCAAACCCTAGGTATGATGCCTATGAAATCTAGGTGTGATGCCTGGACCTATCTTCTTCTTCTCCTTTCTTCTTCTTTTATGTTTCAATTTACTATTCTCGGATTACTATTTACAGCCCTCTAAAAGTGCATTTTTCAACCTCAAAACTCCATCCAATCACCCTCAATCAACCCTAATCCCTTCCCCTACCCATTAGCCTTCAATTTACTCTTGAAACCATAAATTACTCACTGTTTAGGCCATCAAATAACCTCTGTTTTGAAAATCCAGCGCTGTCCCTATTCGTCCTACATCAGTAATGGTATACCATCCCATGGCAGAGTAAACCTTCTTGGGTGGTAGGTTCTAATTAATGGAGGATTTAGGCCTTGTTTGGTTTGTGTTTCTCAAAAAATTTTGGGAAAAATTCTCTACAAATAAGTTTTCAAAAGTAATCAAACCAAACAAATTTTCTCAAAAATTTTTTCCAAAACTTGTTTGGTTTACAAATTTTCTAAACAAATCTCTCTCTCATACACATCAAATCAATCACTTTTTCCAAAACTCTCTCTCAAAATAATTTTCCAAAACATCTTTTGAAAAAAAAACCAAACCAAACAAATTTTCGTACTTTTTATCTCAAAACATGATTATCAAATACAAACCAAACAAGGTCTTAGTGTCCCCTTTTTTTATAGTTATGGCAATAGAATAAATGGACACCAAGGGACATCACCCCTATACATCAAAATAACAAAAAATAAATAAATAAAACACACCACTTTATGCTCTCCGAAAAATGGAATTCTCCTATAAAATCAACCAACAAAAGAACTGATCCACAAAAGTCCTCCTTCAACCAAAAAATAAATAGATCGGAGCAAAGAAAGGTTAAGGTGTTATTTGATAACTCAATTCATCGCTTTAAACTGAACATATTCATTGAAAATAAAATAAGTTCATTTGATAACCATAATTCATATCATTCAAAATTTTAAGCACCCATTAAAAATAAGACTAAAGTTCTAAATCACATCCTTCTTACTCTAATTTGAATGTTGAGTGTTGAATGTCAACTTGTAATATGTCAGTTATCGTAAATGGGAATCCCGGGAATTCTTTTAAGGCTACAAGGAGTTTAAGCCAGGATGATCCTTTATCTCCTTTCCTTTTTATCCTGGTGGCGGATGTGTTAGGTACGTTGATTGACAGGGCGAAAGATTTAGGCCAAGTTTGGCTACAAAGAAAAAAGTGCACTTATTTCATCTTTTTATCTTTTTTGGGTCACATCAATCAACACTACAAGGAGTTTAAGCCAGGATGATCCTTTATCTCCTTTCCTTTTTATCCTGGTGGCGGATGTGTTAGGTACGTTGATTGACAGGGCGAAAGATTTAGATCTAGTGGACAGCTTCATGGTAGGGAGAGATATAGCCTATGTTTGGTTCTCTTTTGGAATTGTGATTCCAATCAAAAAATTTCAAAACTCATAACCAAGCATACAACTCAAAAACATATCAAACTCAATTCAAAAACTATTTTCAAAACTCATAATCAAACACACAACTCAAAACTCAATTCAAAACTCTTTTCAAAACTCAAAACCAAACTCTTTTCAAAACTTTATTTTTCTTTAAGAAAAAAATTCAAAAAAATATTTTTTATTTTGGTTTTTAAACTTACTTTTAGAATCATAATTTGAGTGTGAAGTCGTGTTTTGAGTTATGAGTTTTGAAAAGAGAAAATTTGTTTGGTTATGAGTTTTGAAATGAGTTTTGAGTTATATTTTGAAATTTTTTGAATTTTATTTTTTTTAATATTTAAAAATTTTCTTAACCTCTTTTTTTTAGGGTAAATATTTTACATTTTAAATATTTATGTGCACTATATTTCATACATTTGTGTACTATATTTTTTTAAACATTTTAAATATTTAAAAATTTTATTTTTTTATTTTAAATATTTTATTTTATAAATATATTTTTAAATATTTAAATTTTTAGTATTTTAAATATTTAATTTTTTAAATTTTAAAAAAATTTTGATCATCATATATATCTAAATCACAACAAATTATTTGGCCAATAATTAAACAAAATAACAAAAAATTATTTTTTTAAAAAAAATAATAATAGAACAAAATAAAAAAATATATGTTTTTTGAAATTTTTATTTTAAAAATTGAGTTTTGAAAAGTGTTTAATTAAGAGGTTTGAAAGAAAAAAAAATTAAAAATATTTTAAATTGAGTATTTGATTATGAAATTTGAAAAGTATTTAAATTTTTTTTTTGGCATCTGCGAGTTTTAACATTTTAAATTCAATTTCCCCTTTTCTTATTCTTCTTTCATTGGTTGTACGTGAAAAACAAAATTTACAGTGGTCACCAGATTCAAATATTTAAATAAAAATTATATATTTAAAATTAAAAATAAAATTTTCTTAAACATTTTTAAATATTTTACAAAAATAAATCCAAAAAAAATCAAAATACAACTCAAAACTCTTTCAAAATTCAAAATTCAAAAACTCTTTTCAAAACTCATAACCAAACAATTTTTTTTTTTTCAAAACTCAACTCACATCTACACACTTAAATCACAACTCCATACTCAAATCATAATTCTAAAACAAAACCAAATAGAGCCAGAGTTTGTGTTTCCCATCTCCAATTTGCAGATGACACTACGTTTTTTTTTTGTCAAGGGAGGAAAGTAAGATGAGGTGCATTTTATCAATCTTACAAATGTTTGAGGATGTTTCAGGTCTTAAGGTTAATCTAAGCAAGAGTAGTATTGTGGGCATTAATTTGCAACAGAGTCATGTTCACAGTTTGGCTACTATTTTAGGGTGTTGTTCCATCGAGAAGCTTCCCATGAAATATTTGGGGCTTCCTCTTGGGGGTAATCCTAGGAGTGAATCCTTTTGGTCGCTAGTGGTGGCAAAGATAGGGAAGAACTTGAAGGGTTGGAAGAGAGCTTTGCTTTCGAAAGGGGGAAGGTACGCATTGATTCAATCTGTCCTAAGTGGCATTCCCATTTATTTTTTATCCCTTTTTAAGATTTCGGCGAGGATAGCAAAATCAATAGAGGGTTTAATGAGGGATTTCTTATGGGAAGGAAAGGATGAGGGTAGGAAGATGCAATTGGCTAGATGGGAGACTGTTTCTCTATCTAGGGATAAGGAGGGGCTCGCAATAGGCAACATTGATGCAAGAAATCTTGCTCTTCTAGGAAAGTCGCTACGGAGATTTCTGTTGGAGAGTGATTCATTATGGCATTCTATTATTAAGAGCAAGTATGGGGTTCAATATTTTGATAGGTCTGCTCATGTGGTTTTGAGGGGTAATTGTCGAGCTCCTTGGAAGTCAATATCTCATATTTTCCCCCTTTTTTCTAGTTTCCTTTCTAGGAGGGTGGGAAATGGGGAGAAGACTCGGTTTTGGGAGGACATTTGGGTTGGAAATTCCTCTTTTGCTAGGGACTTTTCAGGTCTTTATAGGGTTGCAAATTCCCATGATTCCTCCATTGCATCATTAGCATGTTTTAGTTTGGCTCCAGTAGCATGGAATTTCAGATTCTCTATACATCTCACTGATAGGGAAGTTTGTGAGTTAGCATCCTTGTTATCTCGTATTGATCATTTGTCTTTGAACTCTTCCTCGAGTGACAAACAAGTTTGGCTCTTGTATTCGTCCAGTGTCTTTTCATGCAAATCTGTTTTTGATAAAATCATTGAAAATTCAAGTGCACCGTTCTTTCCCTTTCACAAAAGAATCTGGAATTTGCACCTCTCAAAATGAAGTTTTTTATATGATCTTTGGTTCATGGAAGCATTTTGACCAACCATGTTCTTCAAAAGAGAAGGCCTAATCATTATCTTTTTCCTCAATGGTGCATTATGTGTAAGGGCGAGGGGAAGACTTTGGACCATCTTTTTTTACATTGTCCAGTGGCAAGGAGATTGTGGCAACAGTTTTTCTCATTGGGTGGCATTGCTTGGGTGGCTCCCGAATCATCTAGTTCCATGTTGTTTACCGATTTCCAATTTTTGGGCTCAAATAAAAAAGCGAAGGTGCTGGGGCTTTGTGCAGTTTTTGCATTTTTATGGGTCATATGGCTGGAAAGGGATGCGAGGATCTTTGAGGATAGAAGTGTTGATGTCTTCTCATTGTGGGAGAAAATCATATTCTTGGCATCTTTTTGGGCGTCATTGGCTTCTCCATTTAGGGGAATTCCGCTTTTCTTGATCTCGAGTGATTGGAAGTCCGTGTGTGTCTCTTAGAATTTTATTTTTCTGCTTTTGAGGACTTCTTGTCCTCCTTTTGTACTATTTCTTTTCTTTTCTATTTTAATAAAATTTTCGTCCGTTGTTGATCCAAAAAGGCATGTGTTCAACCTCTCATGGTTATACCATCTTTGAGATGTACCAATGCTACCACAACACTATCAGTCTACTACCACTACCAGTCTACCACCACCCTCCACCTCCACTGCCACTGTTGCCAGCTACCCACCATATCACTACTACTGTCACCACCTAAGAAGCATGGACACGGACACACGACACGACACAGATACAACACAGACACCCCGACACGTCAATTTTCATAACATGCAAGACTCAACACGTGGAGGACACGCATGAAATATATAATTTTCTCCCAAACACATATTAATGTGTACTAATTAGGCGTTGTTTTTTTTATTTATCTGTTGTATGTTATATACATATCAATATACCATTCAAAGATAATAAAAAATGCAATATGACACTAATTCCTATAAATTTATATAGTTTTATTTTATTATTGTATCTTAAGTTGTTTTGTTCAAACTTATAATTAGTTTCACCTATGTCTAATCGATAAACACGTGCGTTTAAATGATAGATACATGTGTCCAAAGAGTATCCAGGGTCTTTAAAAAAAAAAATCAAATAAATAAATAGAACACGTTTTGAAGAGTGTCGGTGTCTAACTAAGAAGTGTCCGTGCTTCTTAACTTGCCACTATCATAGCATCACCACCACATAACCAACATCACTGTTGCCACCACCACTATCACTCCACTACCGCCGCCATTGTCGGCGCTACACATGTACCTCCGCCATCACGACATTGTCACAAACACGACCACCACACCATCTCTACTCAATTACCACAACTACCACACAACCACCATTGTCGCCATCACTCCACTACCAGCACAACCACCATCTTTGCCAACTCTATCCTACTTCACACAAACACCACCACCCTACCACCATCGGCATCTCCACAACCAAACAACCACTTTCGCGGCCACTACCACACCACCACTATCACCATGTGGCTACCACTAGCCCACCACCACAAATATAAAGTGTAAGAAAAAATTAATAAATTTCAAATCTCAACTTCTTTTACACGTAGAACAACTTGATTAAATCAAGCACTCAAATTTTAGAAAATACCAAACAACTTTTCAAACTAAACAATTCGGCATTAAGTCTTCAGTACTGAAAAATTTTTAGTTTCATCAAACAACACCTATATATAGGCAATTGTACATACTCTAAAGTAGTTTGATTTCTCTCTCCAAAAGACGATGCTGACAGTACATTTCAATTGGTTAATGACAAAATGCAAACAAAGAGGGAAACTTCAATCGTGAATTCTCAGATCTCCAAGTAGAAAGATTCAAAATTCTCTGCTTTCTTTTCTCAGCAACCAAACGGAGGAGCTAATACAGAAAAAGTAAAGGAGAACATACCTCGTTGTGAGCTCGGGATATCGACATTTTGACACGCTAATACCAAAACTGGAACCAAGACATTAAAACTGTAATCAACCCAGTTGAAAGTGCTCCCAAAAGAGCCAAACATTTCAACCAGAAGGGTCCTCCAAATCAGCCATTGAGTTCGCAGATATATGACGGTGAGATTGCTAGCTTGATTTGGGAAACTAGGGTTTTTGGAATGGACACGTGAGGAGAAGAAAGAGAAGCACCCGACAGAGGGTAGAGCTGCCAATTCTCTCTCTCTCTCTCTCTCTCTCTCTCTCTCACTCTAGACAAATTTTGCTTTGAAGGATTAGACTAGTAGATTAGGTAAAGATTGCAATTTGTAAGTGATTATTACTTTGCTTTCCCGTTTTCACCTTTTGGCTGTGAATGCGGGGAATTTGATTGACGAGAGAGAGAGAGATGGGGGCACGGGTCAAGGTTTGTTCTTCCTCGGTAAGCTTTCGGTCCATTGTCGCTACCAGGTGTTGCCTTGCGTTCCGTGTTGTTTCACAACTGTTTTTTTTGCTTGCTGGTGTTTTTATTATATTATTATTAAAAAAAATTAAAATTTAATCATTATAATAAAATAAATCTTAAATTTTTTTTTATCAATTTAAATCTGATCTCTTAATTTATTTTTAATCTATATCATCAACTTATTTTTTGTTAAATAAAGTCTTCGTTTAGAATGTGAATTGACTTTTTTACTTTTTGACTTTTTGACTCTGGGACTAAAAAAGTTTTGTTTAAGATAAATTTTTTGGCTTTTTTTACTTTTATGAAAAAAAAATAAAATAATTATGATTTAGATGTCATGTTTTGTCGTATTAACTTTTCAATTTATTTTGTTTTTTTGTAACTATTTTAGCCTAGACTTTTTATGCCAAACGAAGCAAAGAGCAAAAGTATTTTAATTATTAGGTGGTGTTTGGGAAGTTTGGGACTTGGATTTATTTTATTTTTTTTCACAAAAAGACAAATTTTTTGCAAAATCAAAAAAAAATATATCCAAACAAAATATCACATCCAACTCTATAATCATTTCATTATTTCTCTCACAAACATCACACAAAACCACAAAAAAACTCAATTATCTTCCCAAACACAAAAAAAAATTTCTCCAATAATATCCTACAACTAAAAAAACCCACATAAAAACTCACTTCCCAAACACCCACTAAGGATTCGTTTGGGAAATGGATCGACTTTTTGGCTTTATGGTCATTTGGCAACATGGTATAAAGCTGTGTTTGCAATTTGGTTTCACAAAAGTTACATTGACTTTTTTAGCAAAAAGTCATTTTGGCAAGGTGAAAAAAAACTACATATAAAATTACAATTATACCCTTTATATTATTTAGGGTTATACATGAGTGAAAATATAAATTTTCTAAATTGGGTGGGGTAGTTTGGTCATTTTATTGTGATGTGACATCATAAATAAATATTAATTTAAAAAGTCAAAAGCAATTTTTTACCAACTTCTCAAATTATTTTCCAAAAAAGCCAAAAAGGTTGGTAAAAAGTCAAAAGCCAACTTTTTACCATCTTTCCAAATCACCCCTTTTTGACTATTTTAGCCTAGGGCTAAAAAATTTTGTTTAGGAAGAATTATTTGGCTTTTTTGACTTTTTGTGAGAGAAATAATATAATGATTATGGGTTAGATGTGTCTTATTGGACTAAAAGCCTATTTTGTCATTTTGTGGCTAAAATAGTGTCAAACCCAACCCAATCCATCTTTCCAAACAGAGGCTAAAGGTGTGCATAATATATCTAAAATATTCTTTTTTATTGAATTTAATGATTAAAAAAAAAAATTGGTTACATTTACTCAGGTCACTTTTGGGATGAACTAAAAAAGTCAAATTATTGGCTTATTTAGGTCTCATTTGGCAACCTTCTATTTTAATCAAAAAGTCAGTAGCACCGTCTAGGATGCCCATTTGGGCTAAAATAGTCATATATGACAAAATAAGTTATTTTAGCCAAATAGAACAAAATATCACATCTAATCTATAATCATTTCATTTTTTTCTCTCAAAAAAGCCAAAAAAACCTATACCAGACGGGGTTTTTTAACCCCAGTCTAAAATAATCAAAAAGCCAACCCACATCCCAAACGAACCGTAAGTTGTCACATCATTCTCTCTACTTTTCTACACATCATTTCGTAAAAAGTCAAAAAGTTACTAAAATAGCAAATTCCCAAATGAAGCCTTAAGCCTCATTTGGCAACCTTCAATTTTAGTCAAAAAGTTACTATAAGTTGTCACATCACTCTCTCTACATTTCTACACATCTTTTAGTAAAAAGTCAAAAAAACTACTAAAATAGTTTGTGCCCAAACGAGGCCTTAGATTACATCACCTTTTTATTTTTTTACACGTATTTTCGTAATAAACAAAAAAAATTAACTTGTAAGTCATACCCAAAACAACCCTTAACGAAAATAGGCAAATAGCTTATATTAAAAACTAATCAAAAGTTTAAGTTTAAATTGACAAGATTAAAAATTCAAGATTTATTTTGTTAAAAGAGGCAAACTCTGTGATTTTTGTTATTTAGGACCGATTATTGGGGAGGTTAGAGAAAATGTAGTCCATAGAATTACTTAAGTAGAGGAGTGCATCTAAAGTACTATGCAATAAACGAGTACCCACTATATCAAGAGAAAGTTGTACAAAATGGCTATTAGACCAACGATATTGTATGGGACAAAATTTTAGGCAACTAAGAAACAACATATAAATAAGATAAGTGTTACTAAAATAAGAATAGTAAATTGGATGTGTGGCAAGATTAGAAAAGACAAAATTAAGAATAAGTATATTTATAAATGGGTAGGAGTAGCACCGATAGAACATAAGCTAAGAGATAATAGATTGAGATGGTTTGGTCATATACAATGGAGACTAACGGAAACAATAGTGAAGAGATGTGATACAATGACAGCAAAGGGAAATATTAGGAGAAGGTACAGACCTAGATTGATGTGGATTAGAATAATAAATAGAGATACGAATCTTTTTAATGTGACTAACCAAATAGCCTTTATAGACTCAAGTGAAAAAGAAAAATTTATATAGTCAATTCCATTTGATGGGACTTAAGACTTAGTTTGATTTAGTTTTTACTTTTATTTTTTTAAAAACCATTATCCCTTAAATCAAGTAACGCACTACCACTGTCTTATCCCTCGTATAACAGTCACCGCCAACTTTAATAGCCACCGCAGCCCCCTCTCATATTCTTCTAACTCCCTTTATCATACCTAAGCCCTTTTCACTCTCTATCACTCCTCTCTTACTCCCTCGCCAACCCTAACTGTACAAAATACTTCACAATCAGTTAAAATCGCACTAATCTTCATCAATCCGCACCATCCTATCCACTAACCGTGGATTAAACTTTAAAATTGATAATCCGCCTTCAAAACCGCTCCGCTTCACTATAGTTAATATATATATATATATATATATATTTCTTTACCTCTAATGAAATATTAAAGTAAAAATAAGTGTGAAAGAGATTTCAGATATGAAATTGATTATAAATTAGTAGTTATATATATGAAAAATATTATTATATATATATAATATTATGTAAAATTAATGTGTTATATATATAAAAAATATTATACAAATTAATATTATATATTATATAAATGTTTGATAATTGATTAGAATATTCTTTAATCAATCAATTTGTCAATATGTCATTTGATTTATAATTTTATAATTTTATTCTCAGATCATTCAAACTGTACCTCGCATACTCCGAGCCCTAGTCCTTCTCTCACCCTACTTTAATGACCTCCCAGCTCCTTTCCCCTTACCTAACTTTTTATCTACTCCCCTTATCAATTGCCATTCTCGCTACGTGCACAACCACCTAATGCCTTCCTCCACCATACCTCTGTCGTCCTCTCCCCTTTATTTGAACCCATAGTCCCTAATCTAGAAAATCAGTGTTGAACTAATGGTGATGGTTTGTACGTAAACTATCAAACTAGGTTTGGTGATGGCGAAAGAGAAAATGGGAGATTGCAATGGAATAGGTAGTCACAATGAGATATAGGAAAAGGGCAATCACAAAAGGAGGTGAGGTAGGGAGGAGAATGAGTGACGGTGACAAGATTTGAGAAAGAAGGAAAATTGCAATTGAGTGGGGTTTTGTTTTCTTTAATTTTAACTTATTATAATTAAATCTTAATTAATTATTAAACATGACTTAAAGATGCTTGTGGGTTACAATTACAATTTTTAGAGACTGTTCTATTTTCTTTTCTTTTTTTCTTTTTTTTTTTTTTTGGTTAACTTAACACTGTTTTAATGGAATTATTGGAGAAGAAAGTATGAGCACATTTGGTACAATGGAATGGGTTGATATGAAATGTCCATTTTAACTTTGTAGTCCATTTCCCTTGTTTGGTACTTCTTATCTAAGTGGGAATAGTCATTCCATTAGAATAATTATTCCAACAAAATGTAGGAATACCTATTTATTCTTCCAACTTAAGGAATAGTTATTCCATTCCATCATTGAATTACTATAAAAAAATTTTATTATTATTTTTTTTTTGTTAACACTTAAAAAAATATTATTATTTAGCTACTACTATCATTCTGTTCTCCTACCACTTACTCCACCACCCTACTGATATCACCACCACCACCACCGTGGTCGCCACCACAACCACCACACCACCGTTCTACCACCACCGTGCTACCGATGTCGCTCTATTACCACCACTACTACCACCACAACATCCACATCCATAAAACCACCACTATCACAATCGTTAGAACCACTACCCTACTACCACCGCTCCCATTACCACCACTGCCTCTATTGCCACAACCACTACCTTACCACTTATATACCACCTTCATAAACATCACACCACCACCATCACCATCACCATCATGAGAACCATCACTCTACTATTGTTGGCCGCCGTCACCATCATCCTACTATCATTGTTATCACCACCACTGATACTGATACCACCATCGCCACCGCCACCGCCACTATGACTCACACGATCACTTCCACAACTATCAATATTATCATGATCTATATAAATTTTAAATTTATTAGTTACTAACTTGTTAAACAAATAAATAAATAATAAAAATTTATTCCATTTAATGAGTTTAATAGGTATAACCCAAACATGAGAATAAGAATTATCATCATATTCCTACTTCATTCCATGTTGGCAGCCAAATAATGGAATAGGAATGGACAATCCATTTCATTCAATCTAGTATTCCATTTTCACTCTTATTCTATTCTCATTTCATTTCTTTCCATCGTACTAAATATAACACCCCGAATAATACTATTTAAGAAAATCATACTATTATCTATTTTTGAATGCCTTAAGTTAAATTAGGATTTATCTTATTATATAAAATAGTTAAATTAACGCTTGGATAAAAAAAAAATCATAGTTAATAAGTTTTGGAAACAAATTTCTATTTAGAAGGGGGAAATAT